CTGGTTTTTAATTTCTCTATCATCTGTGGCATCCATGTTTCCTGTAATTATTTTAACTATACTTCCTAGGCCATTAATTAACCCTCTTCTTGCTCTATTTTTTGGAATCAAAGCTCCCAGTTTTTCCCGTACCTGTTGTACCTTAGAGTTTAGGATGTGTACTGTTTCCCCTGAAAAGGTTATGGTTCTGAGATTATTTAATGCTAATTGGATTTTATCAATATTTTCCTGATAGTCTCTTAAGTCTACCACATGTGACAGTGTTTTTGATGTCTTGACAAGTGTAGCTTCCCCTAAGTTGATGTTAACAAGTGGCGTATCGGGTTGGAATTTTATCATTTTATATGACTGTGTCGTCACGTAGCATAGGGAGAGGCTGTAAGAGTTATAGGACAAGGTAATTGTTAAAAAGAGTCATTATTTTCATTGTGTATTCGTTTTTTAATTTTGGACTTATGTAATTTTTGACGTTTCTTAGTAATAAGAGTGTCTCCCAGATCTTCTAAAACAGTATGTTTTGTAAATCGTGCCGTTAATTTGTTTCGGCGATTTTCTTTTCTAAAAATAATGTCGTCCGGCTTTGTTTCTACGGGTTTGGCTCGGTTCAAATTTAGGTTTTGTGTTCTTGATGTTTTCTGCTCAATTGTGTCTTTCTGCACTTGAGCGTATAGTTTTTCCCTAAAGGCGTTAAGCTGTTGTAAGTAGTCGTGTTCGTTGTTAAATTTTATTTCCTTATTGAATGTGTGTGTTCTACCAGTGAAAAGTTCGTGTGGGGTGTGCTTGGTTGCTGAATGTATAGAATTGTTGTACGTTATAAATGTTTCCGTTAGTATGTCATCATGATCGACAGATAGGTTCTCTAGTTTTTTCTTGTTAAGGATTATTCTATAAATTTCCGTTAAGGAGGAATGAAGTCTCTCTACTGGAGAGTTACTTGAAGATTGCTGGAAGGATGTTACATGGATTTCCATGTTATATTGATTACAGAAATCTCTGAACAATTTTCCCGAAAATTCAGCACCTTGATCAAAAATAAGTTTTTGAGGAATACCATATGTGTTAATGAAACTTCGAAGTGACCTGGTTGTGTTAAGGCAGTCTCTTGTAGGGATTGTATATCCCGCTGCGAATCTTGAAAATTTATCAATTGCGGTTAAGATTGTCTTTCCATTTATCGTATATAGGTCTATGTGGACTATCGAAAGGGGTTTAGGTGGTGATTCGGTAATTGCATACTTAAGTTTTTGAGGTTGTCTATCGTATTTTAGCGTTTGGCAGATATCGCAATTGTTAGTAAACTTTGATATTGCTTGCCGCATTTTTGGAAAGTAGATAGTTCTTCTAAGATGATTAAAGGTCTCTTCAGCTCCTCTGTGATTGGATTTAATGTGATAATTTTTAATTTCTGCTTCCTGTTCTTCTTCTGTTAGAATATCCCTAAGAATTTCTTTACAGCGGACCACGTTATATTTGTTTGTTTTGGTGAAATGTTCTTTAATAATAGGTCGAATTAACTCAAAAATTTCGTCCGAAGTTAAGATTGCACAAGCTTTTTGTGGTCTTAACGTATCGTTGAGAATTTCTGATAGCTTTTCGGTGGTAAAATTCGGTTCTGCGTATGTTTTTCGTGTTTTATTTTCAAACAAGGTCTCGTCTTTTGTTGTTGAATTGGGGTTCATTAAAATGACAATTTGGATGTTAAATTCATTTAGTGGAGTTTCCGAGTTCTTTATCTCGTATTTCCCTACGTCTACACTATGGGTGTTAGCTTCTAAATTAACTCGACTTAATGCGTCTGCTACTAGATTTTGAGATCCTTTCTTATATTCGACCTCGTAGTCATATTCATTGAGTTGTAACTTCCAGCGGACCAATTTTGAGTTTGGTTCTTTGAAGTTCATTAACCACTTCAGTGGTTTGTGATCTGTCCGTATTTTAAATCTCTGTCCGAATAGGTATGGTCTAAAATATTTAGTAGCCCAGATAATGGCCAACATTTCTTTTTCGACTGTCGAGTAATTTAGTTCCGTGTCGGACAGGGTTCTGCTTGCGAATGAAACGGGCCTATCCGAGTTTTCGTTTCCCTGTGATAATACCGCACCAATGGCTACGTTACTAGCATCTGTTGTGAGTATGAAGGGTTTGGTAAAATCCGGGTAACGTAAAATTGGATCATTACACAATAAGGTTTTACACAATTCTACGGCTTCCGTAAACTCTGCTTCGATTTTTATCGGTGCTTTTCCTTTTAATTTCTGGGTTAGAGGCTTAGTCAGTTTCGCAAAATCTCTAATGAACTTCCTATAATACCCCAAAAGTCCGAGAAAAGATTTGATTTCCTTTCTAGATTTGGGAATAGGAAATGCCTTAATGGCTTCTATCTTCTTTGGGTTAGGTCGAACACCTTCATCCGTAACTACATGTCCTAGGTATTCGATTTCTTTCCTTAAAAATTCGGATTTTTCTGGTTGAAGTTTAAGTCTAGCTTTTGATAGTTTTTCGAAAATTTGGCTCAAGTGGGTCATGTGTTCCTGGAGAGAGGGTGAGAAAACAATTATGTCGTCTAGGTATATCAGACAGCATTTGCCGTTTAGGTCGGCTAATACGTTATCCATTACTCTTTGAAATGTGGCTGGGGCGTTAGTCAAGCCGAATGGCATCCGAATGAACTCAAAGTGGCCGCCTTCTGCTGAAAAGGCGGTTTTTTCAGTATCTTCGGGCTTCATTTCCACCTGGTGGTAACCACTTGCCAGATCTAGAGCTGTAAAGTATTTTGCTCTTCCTATTCTATCTAGTACCTCGTTTATATTTGGCATTGTATATTTGTCTTTAATTGTCTTCTCATTAAGTTTTCTGTAATCTACTACAAGTCTCCATTTCTTTTTGTTTGAAGCGTCCATCTTTTTTGAGACCAAAAAGACTGGAGCACTCCATGGGCTGTGGCTATGTTTGATCACTTTCTGTTCTAACATTTCGTTTATTTGTCTTCGCACTTCCTGTGATTCCATGTGGCTGTACCTAAAAGGTTTAGTATATATTGGATTTTCGTCCGTTAGTTTAATTTTATGTTTTACAAGATTTGTAAAAGTAAGAGGGTCGCTTTGTTGATAGTAAAGATTGGGGAATTTCCTTGTTAGTTTCTTAAGTTCTGTCTTTTCTTCGTCGTTTAGATGGTCTGTCCTTAAGAGTTCGAAGCTATTTGACTTATAACTTTTCCCTTTAGTTATATAATCAAGAGTCGGTCTAGCTTCCAAATAATCAGATGGGGCGAATTCATTCACCTTTATTCGAGAATCTACAAATAGGTTTTGTTTTTCTTCAGAGTAGTTAACGATTTCCATTAAACTATATCCGTCTTTTGCTTGATATAAGCCCCCGTTTATGACTAAGTCTTTGTTAACGTCGATGTTGTCGCACAAAAATGTGCCATCGGTGACAGTAACTGGTAATCGAACGAGGGTTTTCGACTCCTCGTCGATTACGTGTACTCCGGTGGCCACATTTTGTTCTTGATATAATTTCAGGTTGCCGACTATTGATTGGAGTTGTAGTTTTGGAATATCAACAACTGCGTTAATCTGTTGTAAAATATCCATTCCTATAAGTCCTTGGAAAAAATCGTGGAAATGGAATATAAACATATCGAATTTTCTTTCCTCATTTGAATTGTTAAAAAGTTTGACTTCTGTTTTCTTTTCAATAAAATGGACTTTCAGTACTGTTTTGATTGGAATAGGGGTATTGAGTTTTTTTTGGTCTTTTTGCGGAATTATTAAGGGGTCTATGAAGGACATAGTTGCCCCAGTGTCTATTAAGAATTTCAATGGTGTGCCATCTTTGAATGGAGTTAGGACAATGTAGGGAAGTAGGCACCCATGGCTCACTTGGTTTAAGTATCCCGTTTGGACTTTGAGGCTCTGTCCCAAAAATTTGAATCTTCATCAATATTATGTACTTGATTATTCTCCTGTTTTTCCTGTTGTTTGTTTTCCTCAATGTTGTGTAATCTGGCAGTAGATCTAGTGTTAGGGTAGCTTGATCTACCGGTTGATTCCTGCTTCGGCATAATTGCCGGAACTTCCCTATTCCTGCCACTAGAATTGCTGCGTTCTGTGTTCCGTCCAGAGTATCGGTAGTTTCTGTTGTTATAACTTGTATATCGCCTTACCTCGTCTCTCCTACTATTTCTGTCGTTATATTGTAATCTATTGTTGTATTGGGGGTATCTTTCCCTAGGCTGATAATTATTACGTTGGTTAGTGTTGGTCTGTGTTCCCTGCAAAAATATGTTTCTCTCCTGTATTGCCCAATCGTATGCTTCCTGCAGATTGGTTGGTTTCATAGCCCTAATCGTCCCTCCTAGTTGGCCTCTCATACCCATCAAAAAGGTGTTTAGGCAAGTTCCCGCAAATATCGATTTTTTTGCTCTAGCTAGGTTAGGGTCAGTTTCTTTAGTGTCAATAAGTTTGAAAAGGAGAGTTTTTATATCTATAATCTGGTCGAACAACTTTTGAACTGACAATTGTTTGTGTATCAGTCCGTGAAGTTCGATAGAAAGGGTGTGTTCATCCCTTTTGTCGGAACAATGCAAAATTAATGCCTCTTTAATTTCGTCCCAATTAAGGCCAGCCTCTGAGGCCGTTAGTATATCTTTGGCTTTCCCTACTATTTTGTTTTTAATGGACCTTAGCAAAAATTGTCCATATGGGGTCTGGTCTGTGCCCCTTATGAGCATTAAAATTTCTTCTACGTTATTAATAAAATCGCTTAGTAATTTCGAGTCCCCATTATATTCCGGTAAAAATTTAATTGCGTCCGGGATGCGTAAGGACGCATAAACCTCGGCCGAATTAATGCTGGTGTTAACCGTAGACGTGTCTGAGGAACTCATACTAACAGATGGAGGTCGTAAAATTATCTGATCAGCACTAATTGGTTCTTCCCTAATGTCTGGCAAACTTGTACTCTGTCTAGTTCTGATTCTGCTACCTGGAAGTATGTTTTTTACTTTATTGAGTTTCGACATCTACTCTTTACTTTCTTATTTCGGTAATTTCTTAGAAATTAATTTATCGCTTACGTATTAAGGTTTACTTATATCGTATTTGGTGATTGGTGGTGTGGAGGTGAAGATTCTCTGAAAAATTTTTGACTTTAGTTTTTATGGACTGGCAGTGTGGGCAAAAATAATGTGTAATTGTTTTTCTATATATATACTTGCAATCGTGTGAGTGTTATGTTGGTGTGTGTGTATATTTCCTCGACGTAGGGTAGTCGGACAGTGTGAGGGTCGAATTTCACCTATAAAGAGAACTTCTTTAATAGATTCCAGATATCGGATTTTCTTATATATTTGTTTATTCTTAATGCTCTTATTTAATTTACCATCACAACCGTAGCTGTAGAGATGTTAAATTACCGCACCTTTGTTTAATTTTTATTTCTTGTATACTTGTTTTTATTTTTTGTATATTTGTATATTTTTTAATGCTCTCATTTAATTTACCATCACAACCGTAGCTGTAGAGATGTTAAATTACTGCACCCTTGTTTTTAATTTTTTATTTTTATTTTTAAATGATTTGGCTTTCATCACAAAATAATTGTAGAGATGATTTACCATTCACTTTTTGAACATAGCACTAAGTTCGCCCTGAACTTTTTGGGTTGTTTGCATTTTAATATTTATTCATCTTTGTTATTTCCGTGTTCGCACTGAACAACGGAAAAACTTCACTTTATATGTATTTTTATATATATTTTATTTCCATTTTTTTTTTTGTGTATTGCATATTTATATATATTGTTTTTCATACTGCACCATCACTGTTGTCTTTTGCCATCCATATTATTTTCTTTTTTTCACCTCCACACTTGTTCTATTTCTTTTTGGTGTATTTACTTATATTAACTTACACTAAAATTATCTTCATATTCCTGTGGGTTCTCCCTTCTGGTCTCCTGATCCTGGAAGGGCCGTTCGACTGCGCCAGTTATGTATAGATGGGAGTTATGTATAGATGGGCGTAATGCCAAGTGTTTGGTTGTCTTCCGAACAGAAAATAATAACGCTGCCGCTCAGTTTGAGTTTGAAATTCAGATTAAAGTTTATTACTCAGCTTGGGTTTATGTATACCCTTGCTGCACGAAAATGTCTTATTCAGCTAAATACAATGTTCGTAATTCTAAGAGTAAGTATATGTGTGTGTAAGTATGTGTGTGTCTTTGGTGTCGTCAACCGATGTTGCGACAGAGCTACATCCTGCTTGTTGTTGACGCTGCACTTTCTGGTTGTTATGGGCGGCCACTGACCGATCGTTGGCCGCCGTCCAGGGTAGCACGAGGTGGTTTGGTTGGGGGGTCCGTAGGGTAGGTAACTCAAGCGCCGCTGCCGCCGAAGCCAACGTCGCTGCCCCAACCCACAGCTTTAAATAGGGATCGCTATGTAGAGTAGGGCAGTTCCGATTTGTATCTCGAATAAATAAAACATCTTAGTTCAATTTTTGAAGTTTTAATTATTTGGAAATTAACTGGCGCCCGAACAGGGACCAGCGCGAGTAAATCCGATTAAGTTCGATCAGTGCTAATAAATCCGTGCAACTCCGTTGACTTTAAAGTGCAACGCGGGGACATCTTATTAAGTTCGATCCGTGCGGAAAATTATTAAGTGCAACTCCGCTGGCCCACTCAGGTCAGAATCAGAGGAATTCCTTCATAATAAAATTGAAGCTGAGGACGACAACCGGTCGGCAAAATAATTGCTGATCCATCGGTGGACTACAAGTACTGCCAGGCAGGCCCGCAGGACATTCTCTATTCGTGTGCGTTGCAGGATCCTCAGTAGGCAACAAACAGGAAGACATCCGAACCAGGAGAAGTAGCCACATCAAAGTTAAGTTAAGTGAAAATAGTGATTAAGTGAAACAAATAAGAAACCAAACTAAGTCAAAAATCTAAATTAAAAATTTTTGCAACCAATTACAAATCAATAAAAGACGTAAAGTTTAAATTAAAATTTGAATCTAAAAGTTATCAAACTCGAATTATTAAATTAAAATTAAATTTAAAAATTGAAATACAAATAAAATCAAACATAAATAATATTGCACAAAATTAAAATTAAATAATATTGCCCCAAATTAAAATTAAAAAAAAAACATTCAAATTTTTAACTACAATATATGAAATTAAGAATTTGGAAAATTTTTTCCCCCAACAATTTTACCTTTACCATTTAATTTCACATTAATATTATTATATTTGAAATGAAAACTACTTTAATGCGTAAGACACACCCATGAATATTCCCCTTCTTTAAAAAAACAAATGGCCAATCAGCGAAATCTCATAAGACCCCCCATTATCAATTTTGAACAACAACAGCCAGCAGGACCAAATAATCCAGAAGAACCCAACGCAGTTTTAAAACAGCAAGTAAATCCAAACCAAATTCATTTAGTTCAGCAACTTCAGAGACTAGAAATTCAACAACAACAACACAGGAACAACATGGCAGCAGAAGAATTACAGGCAGCCGTCAGGCAAATACTTGCAGAGCAATTACCAGTTTTATTAAGACAAGCACAAAATCCAGGGATTGATTTCGCATGTGCCCCAAATCAAGAAATTTTTCTAGAAAATAGAGGTAATCTCGAAGGTCTAGACAGGGTACCAGACATAGTAAAAAGTCTGCGAGAATTTTCAGGAAATCCAGCGGAATTTAGTTCTTGGAAAAAAGGAGTCGATAGAGTGCTAAAAACATATGAAAACACTGTAGGAACGGCTAAATATTTTGGTATTTTACACACTATTTGTAACAAAATAACGGGAAATGCAGACACTGCATTGGAATCCTACAACATTCCATTAAATTGGAATGCTATCTCGAAATGTCTAACCCTCCATTACGCAGATAAACGGGATATAGGAACCCTTGAGTACCAAATGACGACGATTAGCCAGGGCACTAACCAGACTGTAGAAGAGTTCCATCAGGCGGTCTACAAGCATCTGTCCCTGATACTTAATAAAATTGGCTGTATGGAATTAGGACCTGAAGAACAACTGATGACCAAAATGTATAGGGACAAAGCCTTAGACACTTTTGTAAGCAGACTTCGTGGCGACTTATCTCGCATACTTGGTATGAAAGAACCTGCTGAACTTCCGGCAGCATTGCACCTATGTTTAAAGCTTGAGAATCAGGCATTCCGCGCTAACCATGCTACCAACAGAGGGCAACAATCGTCCTTCAAGAATGCACCTTCACGGTTCGTGCCACAAATGCAACCAGGTGTACCAATTTGGCCACAATGGTCAATCTCTACAGGGAACGCCCAGTTCCAGACTTCCTTTGCACAACCCAACTCAAATAGACAACATTATAATCTACACCGACAACCATTCAATGGCAACCAGAACTTACAAGTGGCCCCATATGTAACGGCCCGGCCTTCAGGAAGCCAACCACCCCCTCGACCTTTGGCCGCAAAGCCACAACCACGACCTGAACCAATGGACATAGACAGGACTCTACAAACAATACAATAAACCAGGACGCTTTGACACTGGCAAAAGACCACCAAATCCAATTAACGAGACAGCAAAAAAATCAAGGAACTTTAATATTCAATCAGCTACGGGTACTTCCACGGAAGTAAAAGAAGAATCACCATCACTCGAAGATTACGACTAAACTCTAAAAACTCAAGAGGAACCCCGACCGAATACCATGAAACTCTTTCCGATTGTTGTGACACAATAGAGCAGGCAGACCAGGAATACCCATATGACTACACATACCTTAATTTTTTAGAATAACCAACTCCTCATTACCATATTTTGAAAGTAAATTGAGGAGTGGAGAAACACTAAAAATTCTTATTGATACCGGTTCAAATAAAAATTACATCCTACCTAAATTCATAAAAAATCCAGTAAAAAACATATCCTCATTCGATGCCATATCGGTTGGCGGAAAAATCAAAGTCACACACCATAAAATAGCAAACCTATTTGACGACACCGATACGAAAATCAAGTTCTTTTTGTTACCAACATTAAATACATTTAATGCCATATTGGGAAATGACAGTTTAAAAGAGTTAGGAGCAATAATCGATACCAACAATAAAACCATGTCATTAAAATCCGGCAGAGTCATAGCCATAAAAGAAGAAAAAATAGAAACAGTCAACCTAATTATTCCTCGGACAGACCATCTTAAAAAGACGCAAAAAATAGAACTAAACCAACTCCTCCGAAAATACCCAAAACTCTTTGCTGAACCCGACGAAAAACTGACCTACACCACAAATGTGAAAGCTGAAATTCGTACAAACACTGACACTCCAGTTTACTCAAAATTTTACCAATATCCTATGGCACTTAAAGACGAAATAGACCGACAGATAGAAGAACTTTTAGAAAACAATATAATACGACCCTCAAGATCACCTTACAACTCACCAGTCTGGATAGTTCCAAAAAAACCAGATAGTTCCAACATAAAAAAATACAGAATGGTAATAGACTACAGGAAATTAAATAGTGTAACAATAGCAGACAGATACCCCATACCAGATATTAATGGAGTTTTAGCACAATTAGGAAATAATAAAATGTTTTCTGTGTTAGATCTCAAGAGCGGGTTCCATCAAATTCCTTTAAAAGAAAGTGATGTGGAAAAAAGTGCCTTTTCCGTGAACAACGGACAATATGAGTTCACAAGACTTCCATTTGGGCTAATAAACGCGCCATCCATATTTCAAAGAGCATTAGACGACATTCTTAGGGAACACATAGGTAAAATCTGTTACATTTATATCGACGATATAATTGTATTTAGTCCGGACGCTGAAACCCATTCCAAAAACTTAGAAAAAATATTTGAGACCTTAAATAATGCCAATATCAAATGCGAACTAGACAAGTGCGAGTTCTATAAAAGTAAAGTTGAATTCTTAGGTTTTGTAATATCAGATAAAGGAATAGAGACAAATCCCAAAAAGGTAGAAGCGATCGCCAACTACCCTTGTCCCAAAACTGTAAAAGAATTAAGAGCATTCCTTGGACTGTCTGGATATTATAGGAGATTTATTATGGGATACGCCACACTAGCAAAACCCTTCACGACTTTACTTAGAGGCGAGGACGGGCGTATTTCAAAAAAGGCTTCATCGAGGAAAACCATCCACCTCAACGATGAAGCTATGCAAGCATTTGATAAACTTAAAAGCATCCTTATATCAAAGGACGTAATATTACAATACCCTAACTTGAATGAGGAATTCGTACTAACAACAGACGCTTCCGACCACGCAATAGGAGCAGTACTTTCACAAAAGCACAGACCAATAGCTTTCATATCCAGAACCCTATCACAAACAAAAGAAAACTACGAAACAGCTAAAAAAGAAATGTTAGCCATCTCTTGGGCAGTAAAATCGCTTAGAGGACACCTTTACGGTGGAACCAAAGTTAAAATTTACACCGATCACGAACCACTTACACACGATTGTAACTGGAAAGGAGGAATCGCAATAAAGAGATGGAAATCATACCTTGACGAATACAACAAAGAATTACTTTACAAACCCGGAAAAGAAAACGTAGTGGCTGATGCTTTATCCAGAATCCCAAAAACCAACGAAATTAATTAGTAACCATAACACAACATAGCGCTCAGAGTTCAGGCCACAATCTTATTTACAACGTAGAAGCACCCATAAATGCATTTAAAAATCAAATATTCATTC